AAAAGTTTCAAAGAAAAAGTAAAAAAAAAAAAAAGATCAAAAGATGACCAAAATGATTAAATATATAAGTTCTAGGGTTAGGAACAACAAAATAAAATCACAGGATAAAAATAAAAAAAATGAGTCAAAGAAGGATTAAAATGAAAAAAATAAATAAGTTTTATGACAGAAAGAATCCAAACGGAAAAAATTAAAATTTCACGGCAAAAATTAAAAAAGGCAAAAAAAGACCGAAATCAAGAAATAAATAAGTTTTTGGACAAGGAAAAAAGTGAAAAATAAAGACCAAAATTTATTTATTTTGGACAAGGCAAACATACCAAAATTTATAGAGAAAAATAAAGAAAAAAAGGGAGTAAAAAAGGATCAAAATGAAAAATAAATTAATTTTAGAGTAAAAAGTGAGAAAAATAAAAGGAAGGATTTCGACCGTAAGTTTCCTACGATTTCAATCACTCTTTGCGTAGGTAAGGAGAGTTAATGGTCAACACATAAAAGAGCAACATGATCAGCATACTGGGTTCGTTTGGTTGGAGGATTCAAACTATGTGATTCGAACCATTTTCGATTTACGTGTATTTTTTATGAAAAAAAATACCGTAGCGAACCACGAATCATGATTCGAATCAAGGAACGAATCCCTCCACCAAACGCCCCCTAAGAAGACACATTAGTGCTAGTAGTAAGGAGAGTTAGCGTCACAAAAAGAGTTGTAAATAATCTTCCCACTTTATTCAGCTAAAAGAAAATATGCTAAAAGCCTCTTAGCTATTCCACTCAAAAAAACCATTCTCACTCCGTATAGTTCTCTCTATAGAGCTTTCCTATATTCCACTGCTTGTGTTATTTCCTTTTCGTACTATTGCTCTTTACATATTTCTGTTTGTATATCTTCTTTGTATATAATTCATCTAATATTATTACATATTTCAATGTCTTTGCTTAAGCATATGGCTCAGTAATATATATGGGTATTTTCAATCCGTCTATATTAGCATTCTAACAATAATCAACAGTCTCACTTTTACACAATTATACGGCTCATTAATACACGATGGATGACTTTATTCTACAGGTAAAAACACGCTAATAGTATCACATTTGGCACAATTTGCTACGTAAATGTGAAGGTATTAACTATTGTTGGCATGTTAATACAGACAGAGCGGAAACTCCATCGTCTATTACTGAACCATATGCTTATGAAAAGATATTAAAATGTGTCATAATATTAGGTGAATTATATACAAGTACATTAATAAATAATTTAAAGACATAAATATAAAGAGTAATAGTATAAAAAGGAAATAATACAAGTCATGGAATGTAGGAAATTTCTAAGGGCATGTTCTTTTGTCCAAAAAACTTAAAAAAAGACAACTCAAGTTTCAACTTTATTAAAGTTCACATTCTTTTAAGTTTCAATTTTACTCAATTTTATTCAAGTTCTAACTTCAACTCAAGTTATAACTCAAATTCAACTCAAAAACTACACTTAAGTTACACTTAAATTCCTAACAAAATGATTACAGAGAGAACTATGTGGGATGATCAAAATGGCTTTTAGTGTTGAGTAATTAAGAAACTTTTAGCATTTTTCTTTAGCCAAATAAAATGAGTAGGTGACTTGTAATGCTCTTTCTTCTCAAGTGAATACTTTATGCTTCTTTGAGTATATTGGTAATATTGGTCTCTTATTATCTTTACTATTTATCTCTTAATGTACGATGATGATTATTCTTTGATGAGGTAAGGTTTTTATATAGGCAAGGGGATTGATTACAGCACTGGCAACCGGTTAATCATTGCTAAAGAAGATCAAAAACCACCGATTGAAATATATAGGTGTAAATATATATGCACTATATGTTAAAGTTTATCTATATATGTGGATACCTAGATTTAGACTATACTTATATGATATATATATATATAGAGATATATATATATATGTATGGGTACCAAGATTTAGGTTGTAAGTATACGTTATAATATATATATATATATATCTATATACATCTATATATAATAACTCATTGCAACATTGTTGTATGGATTTCAAACTTTTCACCCAATAGATAATGTATCCAATCCAAAGCCGCAAGCAATGTACCATAGCAGTAATCTCATTTTCAATTACAGTAAAATGTTGTTCCGTCTCATTAAGTTTTCAGCTTGAAGGACACTGGACGACATTCTTGCACTAAAACAGCCCTAATCTTCGAGGCATCCGTTTCTACCTTGAACGGTTTATCAAATTCAAGCAATTTGAGCACTGGTTCGTTCAATAGTGCTCTCTATATATATATGTATATAATATGACTATATATAGTTATGGACGAGTTTTCAGTGGTTACGTTTCTATCAATAATTATAATTAAATTTAAAAATTTGATGACATTATGTGATAAAAATTTAATTTCTTTAATTTTCATAATTTTTTTAGTCGATTTTTTAATTTATTATAACAATCAGATCAATATCTTACGGTTAAAATAACGATACCCATCGATGGATAAATAATAAAATTAATATTAAAACCACACTCATATAAGTATGTATTTATAGGTTATTTATATAGGTGTAGGCTATATTTAAATATATATATATATATATATTTCTTTTTTCTTTTCTTATAGGAAGAGTTTTACTGTCACGTTAGGACATGTTTTGCGACTCGGTTTTAATCAGGTGAAATTACAAAGTTAGTGATATTTCGTTACTTTGTAGTTATTTCATAGTTATCTTTTTATACTATTTTGTTAGGAGCAAGTTACGGTACTGACAATGCTTAGACGAAACACTATTATTTTACACCTACTTGTATGCTTTTCATGTGAAGTGTCACACCCTTTTTCGCATGTATTAAACCCGCATCAATAGATATAACGACCAACAAGAAAGTAAAAAGGCTAAATGAGAACATGAGAGTGATTTCCCGCTTTATTTCTTGGTCTTTTGCTTCTTCTGAAAATCTTAGCCCTTGGACTTGGTTAAGTGCCTGAATCTTGGGTTCAGAAAACTCGTCCGTTGTGGATTTATTGAGGAATTGATTTGGCGGTCTCGGTGTGAAAGTAGTCATTAAAAAGAAAAAAAAAAAAAAAACACTCCCTTTTTTCCTCATGCTAACTTCTATTTTTAAGTCCAAAAGAGCGTAAAACTTTGATTTGGTCTCACCTTTACAGTTGATCTTCGGTAGTTCTATTCTTCATCATTTGATTTGATTAGGCCACATTACGTATTTAAGCTGCTTTACTAATTTCATCTTAATGTGACATGTTCTTTCATTCTGTATATTTCAATTTCTTTCTCTTTGATTTTTTGTTCTTCTTTTAAGTCTTAATCATCTCACCGACGTACATGTTAATTTTAAATATTATTATTTCTTGATTTTATTTTGTCTCCTTTATTTCTTCCCTCCAAAATATTAATATTTTAAAGGAGAATATTTTCTCTCCCATAATCGCCAAAGAAGCAGTTGCAAATACTTCAAAAATACATCACCAACACTTCCTTTACTTCAATTTACTTTTGCTTGAAAAATAACTTGCCATCAAGTCCATTTCTCAAATGAACTCAATAAGTACAATTGTAACTTCATTTAAACCATTTTTTTTTCCCTTTGTTTTGATACAAACTCCATACAAGCCTTATATTGTTTTTGAATTTTTATTCATGCTCTTGAACCCTCCATCAAAGAGTTTCTTGGTTATTTATTCATCAAAATACAAATACTAATGCTTTATTTATAACTTTTTTGTTTTTGATATCGGAGCTTGCATAATTTTTTTTTTTTTTTGTTCTTTTATTTTCAAGAAAACTACGAAAGAAAATAACTAGTATCAGAAGATGCTAACACATCTCAATAATGATGGCACCAGCTAGAATCTCCCACTAATAAGTCATTGTACCAAGGAACAAAACTATCGAAAACTTAAACTTCAAGGAGTAATTTGCGAAGAAAAAAAAAGTTCAGAGATAAAAACGACATAAGCACTGATCAGTGATTAGTTTTCAAGTTTGCAAGTAACAGTAAAATGAAAATTATCTATAATTTTAGCTACTTATATATATATATATGCATAACCTGTGAAGTTTTTATATGTATGGCTTGTTTAAATTAAGATCGTTGTGTGTTTGCATATACAGTACATTGGGAAAGAAATATACGGGGCTTAAATTTTAAAAAAATTAGCAGAGATATTTATTAATATGTTAAATATGTAAACATCATGATGAAGAATATGCCGATATGGGGGCCTTGCTTGGCTTGGGGGCCTTAGGCGAGTGTTACTTGCCTAACCCTGAGCTGGCACTTTACTCTTTTGTTTTGATTTGTGTGTTGTCAAATAAAGTGTAATGTTCTTGCCATTTAGTTTTAGCGTGCTTTTTTTTTTTTTTTTTTTTAGTAATACTGGAAGTAATTTTCCTATTTTTCGGTGTTGTATTTATGTCTAGTTCATAAGTTTTTTTTATACGGCATTGAGATAAGTCTTGATGTTTTTAGTCTCTTAATTTTAATTATTAAAGTTATGTGTGTTTGAAAGAACCATTTATTACTTTGTAAGCCTCTTCTGTTTTTTTTATTGGAACTTAATAAACCTATTACTCTATAAAATCAGTCGAATTCGACAGTAATTTCAATTTATATTCGGAGGTTGAGTCGATAAGTACGTTTGCAGTCAGTTAGGTATGAATCAATGTTTGTATTTCTCTCATTTGGAACTATATTCACAGAGGGAAAAAAAAAAAAAAAAAGGAGTAACGATGCTAATTGTCCTTCCATTAAATCAAAGGATATTTTTAGGCCAAAAACATAAGCTCATCAACAGTCACAAACAGAAAAGTGACAGCCCAATCAAAACATCACACGCCACAGCCGTACCGATCCTACAATATCTCCGACCTCACCATCGTTCTTCTCATCCTACGGCTCTCACAACTCCACTCAAAATCCAACGGGTGATATTTCCTATTTCGTTCATATATAGATCTCTCTCTCACTCTCTCTCTTTCACCTCCATAAACCCTAACCAAATCGAAGGTTTTAGGGTTTTAGTCTGTCCCTGAAAAGATCGATCATTTCCGATAAGGTACGCTCGGAAGAAGAATCTCATCGATCGTTTCTTTTTGGCTTTCGTTGGTCATTTACATTTCTATTTGTTATTATTTCACTTCCTCTTCTATTGGTAGAGATTTATATTTTCTAGGGTTTGACTTTGGGGTACATAATGATCGGTTACGTTTGTTCTTGTGTGCTGTTTTCTTTTTCTTTTTTTATTTTGTTTGGAATATTGGTTTGGTTTATGGGAAAGTGAAGGAAAAGAAACGAAAGTTTTGAATTTTTCGATTCTTGGGTTTTATGGTTCATGGTGTTTTCGGATTCGTCTCGTGTTTCTGATGATGAATGTTCTCTGGAAATATTGTTCTTTGATTTGGATTGGTGTTTCATTCGATTGTTGGTTGTTTGCTTTCTTTTGGTTGATACCGGTGAGAAGATAGAGAGGGAAATGAATGCTAGGTCGGGGCACACTAATAGAAGGTGGGTCACACTAATAGAAGGTGGGTCCCACATTATAGGTTCGTATATCGGGTCGTCTTCTATTAGTTGTGGTGCATCCTGGTGCTGTTAAGCATTTTTCGTTGCTGGTATATCATCTGGACATGTTTGAACTGGTTTTGGGATGGTCATATATCATCTGGGAAAGTTGTTTCTGTTTGTTTTGGTGTTTTTTCTTCGTTTGTTCAATTTTTAGGTAAATACAGAGGTAGAAAAAAGTGGTTGTTTATATATGAACTGGTTTTGATAATTTGTTTCCGTGGTCAATTTTTTTTTTTTTTTTCTTAAAATATTTTGGTGGAGATTGGGTGCTGTTTCAACTCTATTGAAAATTTCACTTTTGGGGTTTTCTTTTAGGTTATTGCAATGGCTTTCTTAAGTAAAGTTGGGAATATCCTGAGGCAATCTGCAGCCAAGCAGGTCAGCTCTGAAGCAACTCTCCTCAGACTCCCTATCTCCCAAGCGATACGATGCATGTCTTCCATGCCAAGCTCGAAGCTTTTTATTGGAGGTGAATATTTGCGTTTTATTTTTTGACTTACACATGTTATTGCATTTTGTTGTTGTTTTTGTGTTTAGATCTTTGAATCCTCTTTGTTGTAGGTATTTCATATCAGACGGATGAGCAGAGTCTGAGGGAAGCTTTTCAAAAGTATGGTCAGGTTATTGATGGTAGGTCCTTAGCTATTGTGTTAATTTTGAGTTCTAGATGGAAGATTATGGGTGTTTAGAGTTCGTCTACACATGCTTTTGTTGTTCGCTATTTGTCTATGGGTCACATTGGTGACGTATTAACACGGTCTAATCTCGCATTTAAATATGATGCCCTGCAATTTTCTAGCATGGTCTGAGAAGTTAGCGTGGAGTCTTGGTATTTCTGTTTATCCATTTTCTCATCTGGCTGAGGTTGCTTTGTTTGCTTAATTTGGACATATGCTTATTGACCTAATAAATTGTGCAGCAAGAGTTATTGTGGATCGGGATACTGGTAGATCCAGAGGATTTGGGTTTATCACCTACAGTTCGAGTGAAGAGGCAAGCAGTGCTATCCAGGCTTTGGATGGACAGGTACTAAAATTTCTTCTCTAACTTGTTGGAAAAGCACACGTTGATCTTACCCGGTGAATGTCTTTCTTAGATGTTCTGAATGCATATTGTATAACCTTGTGGTCTTTATTGCTTCCATGATACATGGTCCATCACATCATACATATGTTCTGGTGGCACGTCCCAACACTACATTGTTTGATTTTCACCTTTAACAATTGAAGAACTAGAAATTCAATAGTAATGCATGTATTATTGGATTCTCATCTTCAACAAATGAAGAACGTAATGCTTATTATAAAATTGATATTCTGAGTTTCAGCTATGCAATTAATATAGAAAGAGTTTTTCATTAAAATTCTTGCTGTTCAAAAGTCGTGTATGGCTGTTAACTAGTCTCTGAAATCATGTTACCTTAGTCTTTATGTAAGATTTTACTGATATATTTTGGGCAAAATGTCTCTTCAGGAACTTCAAGGTCGCCGTGTAAGAGTGAATTATGCCACTGATAGGCGTGGTAGCTTTGGAGGCGGTGGCGGAGGATATGGTGGCGGCGGCTACAGTGGTGGTGGCTACTCTGGAGGTGGTGGAGGTTATGGTGGTAATTATGGAGGCGGTGGTGATGGAAACTATGGTGGTGGTAACTATGGTGGAAGTTCAGGTGGCTACGGTGGCAGTAACTATGCTGCAACTAATGATGCCGGAGGTTATGGCAGTAACACCGGGAATTACAATGTTGCCGGTGGCACTGGTGGCAGTGATAACTTTGCCAGAAGTGTTGGTGGCAGTGGCAGTGGCAGTGGCAGTTTTGGTGGTGGATATGATGGAAGCTCTGGGTCAGGATTTGGTGGTGATGATCAATTGACTGGAAGCAGTGGAAACAATGCCGTGGATGATACCTTCGGCGATAATGACCAGGATGGCCCGTTAGAAGAAACTTTCAGGGATGATGATGATGCTGACTTGGCCAAAAGAGCTTGAAAAAAGAGTTCGGGGAGAGTACTGCCGTATTGCTTCTTATAAATGTTTAAGTAGATTGTTCTTTTTTTCTTTTTTCTTTTCCCTCCCCTCTCATTTCTTTTTAGCTTTTTAAGGTCTTATATATGCCCCCTGTTACCGAATTGTTATATTTTTATTTTCGTGGTTTTGGCACTCGGACTTCGACTTTGGATGCGGTTTTTACCTTGTTCTCGATTATAAAACCTGAAATTCTCAAAATAATTGTACTTAAAGGGTAATGCCCTTCCCGTGTCTTGAAGACGGCACTTATTTTGTGCAAAAAGTGCTCTTTTTATAAGCTTTGTAATGAACTATGTTCCGTTTCAAGGAGATTTATTATTTACAACTTAGAAAGTGTTAGTGTCATGGCCTGGGAGTACAAATTCTGAGAAAACTAATGGGATTTTTTCAGTACGAATGTCCAAAAAAGATTGTGGTAAAAATGTAAAGATGCTATAGAAAGATGGAAGAGGTCAATTGTAGAGGCTTAACCAAGTCATGGAATGCTACGTTGTATTTATATGAATCAAAAGTCTTGAAAAAGTTTCTGTAGAAGCTCTGAAGGACCAAAAATACAATTGCGGCAAATAATAGAGTACATCAAAATAAAGAGAGATCTATGTACATTAGATTGCAAAAATCAAAACTTCTTTTCGTTTAAAAGCTCATTTTCATCCATTGAAAACAGCAGCCTTTGTGCATTCAAAACTACAGGAGAGCCTTTCTTGGTTCTCTCCACAATCTGCTTTATCAATTCCTTTTCCATCTCATCCTTGCAATCACTAATCTCGTCCCCACTGTTGGAGGTGTCATTTGATCCGAGAACCAAGGAGATGTGTTCTTCCTGCATTCTTAAACTGTTGGGAAACAATTCACCTAGTGACTTTTCCTCGGGGATTGCGGAGTGAGAGTAATGAATGTCTTCATAGATCCCGCGAGGTGAATCTTCTTCTTCTGAGTCACTCATCTTCATCAGCTCTTCATGAGCCTCATTGTAAGCATCGATAGCTTCCCCTGATAAATTAATGACTAGAGGTGGGTGAGACATGGAATTATAATCTTCTCTAGCAATTGGACTTTCCTGCGATGACAAATATCTTAGTCGACCGTTCGAGAACTCTCCCCGATTTTTACGCCCAGATTCCATAATTTTTATCTTCCTCTGGCTGTTCTGAAGTGCTATCTCAAGCTCATTTACACGTTCTTCAAGCCTTGATTGAATGACCTCGTGCAAGCGCAAGCTAAGCTCTCTCGGAGAAACTGCATGGTTCCCCGAGTGATGTGTCGTGGAGGTGCTAGCCCCATCTTCATTCGACTTGGATTTGGCAACTTCTCCTCCAAGCGTGTCAACTCTCAACTCGCCTTGAGCAAAGTCCGCCTCAAAGTCCGCGTCAAGCTGCACAAATTTTGAGCTCTGTTAACACTCGCTCTTGTATCATTACCAGCATAAAACATCTCATTTGAAGTACACAAAAACGAGTAATGTCTTGGCTATGAAAAAGTGAAGGCTTTTAGGAAGAATGAATATCAATTCTTATTCCTTGAATCATCCGGTACATATATATATACAAATAGTAAAGCTTTGACTATTCTTAGGTTGTAACTAAATAAGGAAACAAATCCACTAAACTAGGAAAGTTTAAAAATAAAGATCTAGTAAGAATACCGGATTCTCCTCCTAATTTATACACAAAATATCAGGGATAATTCCTAGAAATCTTCCCTAATTGATTCGGAAATCTAACCACTCCCCCTCAAGCTGAGTTGTAGATGTTGAACAAACACAGCTTGTGACTCAATCCTTCGAAGCTTGTTCTTGGAAGAGCTTTCGTGAGTATATCTGCCACTTGAGATTGTGTGGGGGTATAGATCAATTGTATTATTGAGTTGTTAATCTTCTCTGAGATAAAATGACGATCAATCTCAATATGCTTAGTTCTGTCATGATGTACCGGATTCTTGGTGATGCATATAGTTGCTTGATTGTCACAGAAAAGCTTGATCGGTTTCTCACTTGTTATCCCCAATTCCTTGAGTAGTCTCCTTATCCACATTCCTTCACAAATGCCAAGGGCCAATGCTCTAAACTCAGCTTCTGCGCTGCTCCTTGAGACTACTGGTTGTTTCTTGCGCTTCCATGTGACTAGATTCCCATAAACATAGGCACAATAACCAGTTGTTGATCTTCTGTCCTTTACATCTCCTGCCCAGTCTGCATCTGAGTAGATCTCAATATCCTGATTTCCAGTCTTCCTGTATAGTATACCCTTTCCTGGTGTCATTTTTAAGTACCTCAAGATTCTATACACAGCTTCCACGTGTTCTTCTGTAGGATTGTGCAGGAACTGACTTACTACACTAACTGGAAAGCCGATGTCCGGTCTTGTGTGAGAGAGAGGTAGATAAGCCGTCCTACGAGTCTTTGGTATCTCTCCCTATCAACTGGTGCAGACTCTATCATAGCTGTTATCTTCTTAGTTGGATCCATCGGTGTGTCGACTGGTTTACACCCCAGCATTCCTATTTCCTTTAGCAGATCCAGGACATACTTTCTTTGAGAGACAAAAATTCCTTGCTTGGATCGAGCTACCTCTATTCCGAGAAAATATCTGAGATTGCCAAGATCTTTGATCTCAAATTCCTTGGCTAGAACTGCCTTCACTCTCACTAATTCCTCCTCATAGTCACCTGTCATAATGATGTCATCGACATATACAATTAAGACTGCCACTTTGTTTTCTGAGGAGAACTTCACGAACAGTGTATGATCTGCCTGACATTGAGTGAATCCATATCTCACAACTGACTTTGCAAACCTGTCAAACCATGCACGAGGAGATTGTTTGAGTCCATACAAAGACTTCTTGAGTTTGCACACTTTGTTGCTTTCCACGGTTGCTTCCAGTCCTGGAGGTATTTCCATGTACACATCTTCTTCAAGGTCACCATTCAAAAATGCATTTTTTACATCCTGTTGATGTACAGGCCAGTCCTTGTTTGCTGCAAGTGAAAGGACTCTGATAGTGTTTAGTTTGGCCACCGGAGCAAAAGTTTCCTGATAATCTATTCCATAAGACTTAGTGAACCCTTTAGCAACTAGTCGAGCTTTTAGTCTCTCAATACTACCATCAGCCTTGTGTTTGATAGTAAAAATCCACTTACATCCGACGGTCTTCTTATCTGGGGGAAGATCTGTCAACACCCATGTGTTATTTTTCTCCAGTGCTTGGATTTCATCATTAACTGCCTTCCTCCATTCTGAGTGTTTGAGAGCCTCCTGAATAGAGTTGGGAACCTGCATACTATCAAGAGTAGACACGAAGGCCTTGTATGATGGTGATAGTTTCACATATGAGACAAATCGGCTAATAGGATGATTCGTGCAAGTTCTGACACCTTTCCTCAAGGCAATTGGAACATCTAAATTCTCCATAGCAGGTATTGTAACATCTAAATTATCCTTACCCGAGTGAACTTGTGTAGGCATTGAATCCAGATTAGCTTCATGGTCTAGTATGAGAGGCATTGTGTGCTCTATCTCCTTTCCAGACTTCTTCTTCCTGGAGTAAACAATTACCTCTTTATTCCTTTCATCGTTTTGTTGAAGCTGAAAAGGTGGACTAGAACGATTTGGACTGGGACTGTCTTGGATATGGGATAGACTCGGTGGACTCAGTGTAGGAGTATGACTCTCAGATTGATTGGTAGAATCTGTTTGAGGAGTAGGACCTGGTATGGACAGAGATGGAGAAGGCTGAAATTCAAGATCCCAAAGCTGAAATTCTCTCATGTTCTCCCCTTGAATTACAGGCTTGGAAAAGAATGATTGGTGTTCAAAAAAGGTAACATCCATTGAGTTGTAGAACCTTTTGGTTGTGGGAGAGTAACACTTATACCCTTTTTGATGTGAGGAGTACCCGAGAAAGACACATTTTATGGATTTAGGGTCTAATTTCCCATGATGTTGAGAGCGTATATGAACAAAGGCAGAGCATCCAAATATCTTTGGAGCTAATGATGAGATGAATTTGGTGTGTGGGAAATGTTGAAGGACAACATTGCACGGAGTTTGGAACTTAAGGATTTTGGAGGGCATCCGATTAATGAGGTATGTGGCTATGAGTATGGCTTCTCCCCAAAAATATTTTGGAACGTGAGTGGTGAACATGAGTGACCGAGCCACCTCTAATAGGTGCCTGTTCTTCCTCTCGGCAACCCCATTTTGCTGGGGGGTATCAACACAAGAACTTAAGTGGACAATCCCTTGACTCATGAGATAGGTTCCAAGAATTGATTCAAAGTATTCTTTGGCATTGTCATTTTTAAGGATTTGAATCTTGGTTTGAAATTGTGTTTGTATCATAGAATTAAAATGCTGGAAAATTTGTCCAACTTCAGACTTTTCTTTCATAAGGAATACCCATGTTAAGCGAGTATGATCATCAACAAAAGACACAAACCACCTAGTTCCAGTGATATTTTTTACTCTTGAGGGGCCCCATACATCACTATGAATTAAGGCAAAAGGGCGAGAAGGTTTGTATGAAGAGTTAGGATAGCTACTACGAGTGTGTTTAGCAAGTTGGAAAACTTCACAATTGAAAAACTTTGGACTTTTATTGATAAAAATGATGGATACAAATTTCTAAGATATATGAAATTGGGATGACCAAGACGATAGTGCCATAACATAATTTCACTATCCTTATTGACACAAGTGTTTAAATAGGACTGACTCTTGAATGATCCACCATTTTTATTCTGAGATTGCCTTCTTGAAGAAATATTATCCTTAAGGAGATAGAGCCCAAAACACTCCTCAACACTGCCAATCGTCTTCCCCAAATTCAATTCCTGAAATTCACAAAGGTTTGGAAAAAATTTAGTCACACAATTGAGATCACGAGTTAATTTACTCACTGAAATTAAATTGCAGTCCAAATTAGGAACATGAAGAACCGAATGAAGGTTTATATCCTTAGTGACTTTCACTACTCCTGTTCCCTTAACTCTGGATGAAGAACCATCTGCTATGCAGACTGTATGGTTCTTAAGGTTTGGACTATACTTGTGAAATATAGAGGCATCTCCCGTCATATGATCCGAGGCTCCTGAGTCAACAATCCAAGGATTTGTATGACATTTATTAACCGCAAAGGCATTTGAAAGATTACCTTTATGTGCTAGCATACTAGAACCCGGGTTTTTATTGTTTGTTTGAGTCATGACATTCTGGCTAAGCAGCTTCTGGAGTACCTCAAGTTGTTCCTTTGTGAAGGGATTGTTTTCAGCCTGTGAAGCAGAAGTGGTGCAGTTTTCCTTGTCACCAATAGTGGCAGCAATATTGATTATGCCTTCCCGATCATTGTTTGGTCGAGAAGGCTTCCAATCAGATAGTTTCCCGTGAATCTTCCAGCAAGTCTCCCTGATGTGTCCTGTTTTGCGGCAGTGATCACACCAAGGTCTTCCTTTTCTTTGCCTGTTGTCAGTAACACTATTTTGTGGTCCTCTAGCAGCCAAGGCGGATCCTTCAAGAGTTGGAGCGGAATTTTGAGAGCCCATCATCAGCTTCTTCCTGCTTTCCTCCCGACGAACCTCTGAAAAAGCCTCCCTTATACTTGGAAAAGGCTTTGTACCCATTATTCTTCCTCTGACCTCGTCCAGATTCTTGTTGAGGCCGAGAAGAAATTTGAAGGTCCTTTTCTGCTCCACTATCTCCCGGTCCAACTTTGTATCTTCACTACACTTCCACGGATGGCCTTCAAACATATCGAGATGAAGCCAATGACGAGTGAGAGTGTTGTAGTATTGTGTTACCGTGAGGTCTCCTTGACGTAGATCATGAAGTGCAGCTTCACTCTCAAACAATTCTGAGATGTTTTCTGAGCTAGAGCAGGTTTCCCGCACTGCATCCCATATCTCCTTTGCAGTCCCGTATGGGAGAAAATTTTCTCCTATTTCGTTATTCATAGAATTAATCAACTACGACATGATCATGTGGTTTTCTGTCTTCCATGTTCTGTATTTAGGATCCCTTTTCTCTGGAATTGTAATCTCACCAGTGAGATATTCATCTTTGCCTTTACCACAAATAAACATCATCACTGATTGTGACCATTGTAAGTAATTGTGGCCATTGAGTTTGTGTCCGGTAATGAGAATTGATGTGTTTTCTGGTCCTCCATGAGAATTGGTTGTGGATGAAACTTCGGTGGTGGAACTATCTGCCGAGGTTGAGGTAGACTACTCTGTTGCCATGCCGTATTTAGTCATTCACGGGAAAACAAAAAAACAGCGATGTGAAGTTTGGAAAAAAAAGAGGAATGGATCGATCCCTAATCGTGAGAATGAGGGAACAGAATAAGAGAATAAGGCCAGTTGACTGGAAAAGAAGAGGCATGCCGTGAGAGTGACTGTGAGAGGCAGCAGGGCTGAGGGTAACTAATTTCCAGAGATACGAGCCTAGGGCTCTGATACCATGAAGGCTTTTAGGAAGAATGAATATCAATTCTTATTCCTTGAATCATCCGGTACACATATATATATACAAATAGTAAAGCTTTGACTATTCTTAGGTTGTAACTAAATAAGGAAACAAACCCACTAAACTAGGAAAGTTTAAAAATAAAGATCTAGTAAGAATACCGGATTCTCCTCCTAATTTATACACAAAATATCAGGGATAATTCCTAAAAATCTTCCCTAATTGATTCGGAAATCTCAACAAAAAGAATAAGTTATGACACATAAGATTAAACGAGACATATTATAACTTCAATATTTGGCATAGTTACTTGAGAACAAACTAAATAACTGTCCACACTCAACCACAGGTTACCCTGAGACGACTTCTATATGATGGATCACAAAGATGAGGAGCAACTCGTGGTTTATTACAAAAAGGTTGGCAGATCAAATACAAGGCAAGATTTCTAACTTTCGCAAATTCCGGCAGTGGAAATAAGATTAATTATCTAAAAGGATCTAATTTATATCTATAAACACAGTTGTTCTGGGATATTAACACTGAAACCAAATCAAATACGAAAATAAAGTTAAGGCTTCTGAAAACGGGAAAAAGACCTTGTATTCTGCTTGGTGTTAAATTCAATAAACCAAAAAAAAATCAACAAATTACGTATAAGGTTCTCTTAACATTACTTGCACATGATACAGACAAGAAATAACAAAAGAACTCTATAACCAAGGTTCTTAATCTTATAGATGGAAAAGAACCACGAAACACTGATAAGAGTCATGCCAACGTGCAATGTTGATGTTGAATTGAATAATCAGTCTGTAGCTGAAAAAGCATCAAACAATCTTTTCTAAACATAGAAGATTACCTCAACAACTTCAGACAATCTTCTCTCCAGAGTTGATACGTTCATATTCAGGCCAAGCCTCTCTAGTTCAGCTTCAAGCTCTGCTTCAATTTTACTTATAGATTCTGAATTCTCATTCGCTTTCTGACAATGAGAATCTTCACTCTCTCTGGTAGAACAGTAAATATTTTGTTCGGAGGGAATTTTGTTCAGGGCCAGTTTAGAAATGGAATTATCACATGCACCCTGAGATTCATAAGTCTCATTAGCCAGCTCTTTCACCGTCAAGGAATCTTTCATCTCAAGTTCCTCTTGTAAATCTTGAACTAAGTTCTCAGTTTGCTTCAACAAATCCTTCAACTTGTCAACTTCACTTTTACTCGTCATGAAAGAAGATAGCATGCCAATGGACATCCCAATAAAGAATAAAAATGTTCCATAAAGTGAACCTGTTGAGATCAGCATAAAACAGTAAGCCACAAACTTCTTCAAAACAAGAGACACACCGAAGTGAAGCATTGAAACCAAGATCCAGATTGTGATAACTACGGTCTTGATTCATTGAAACGCTGGAAAATCTAATAGGTTATGTAGGCTAGTTATCTGAAATAAGATTTGAGGGATCAGAAGTCAAGTTGGCCCTTAAATGAGAATGATGACTTTTTAGGATAAGAGAGCAACAAAACCTATAGTAGTATCCCCATGATGCTGATGGTTTCACCAACCAGTTCTCCAAATATAATATAGCTCATTGCTCCTGAGCGTTTTTCATTAAAGCAACAATTTTATTTTGTATGAAAAGCTGAATTTTTTATCCATGATATTTTCTTTGCTGAATTACATAAGGTCGTGAAATAAACAAACTTAAATTGTCTCCAAAACAAGAAAGAAAGTTATTTCAAGGAACCATACATTGATAAGAAATAAAGGGAAGTATTTTCTTCTTTAGTAATATAAGGATAGCGACTAGCAATTAATAAAGCACTTAGCAATTAAGCTAAAAAGAAAACATGCAGACGAGTTAGTATCACCTTGAGAATGGAAGTCTTTTCCGTTGGTCATTTTAGTAGAACTGCTCAATTCTCCTCTCTTCCCCTTTCCTGTCTTGGCTTTCATCTTCTTGGTAGGGTCCAAATACCCAACTTTTGGCAGTGGAGGAACCCCGTATATTTTTTCATTTTTTTCTAAGCGGGCTTCCTTATTCAGCTTACTTTCCCTGGATCCCATTAGAGCACTCAAAGAATCATTGTATGCACGGCTGATTACTCGGCTTCCATCCGTCACAAACAATGTCCTCATAGTTGGTGTGGCTGGGGATGGAAGGGAACTAAGCACATACTCTGCCATTTCAGCATGTTCCTTGTATAATTGAGCCAAAAGGCAACTCTCCAATGAACTCATTGGTTTAATAAAATGTGCGTGAGAAAGTTTAGTTCTAAGAGGGCTTCTTTTCCTCATTGAATCATTAAAAGAATCCACTTCTTCAGCAGATGGGTTGAATGATAAATCACCACAGTTATCACTAACATTACCAGCTGATCTATTTCCACCCTCGTCATTTTTAAGGTTTTCAATGCTTGAGAATCCTGACTGCAAATTTGATACCGAAAGTATATCTGAATCCTGGTAAGTTTCCAAGGTCCCACTAGTAGAAGCGACTTCCGTTCCTGAAGCATCATCTAACGAGCTAATATCCGAAAGTGATTTGTCAGATCCCGTCTTATCTTTAGCTACATTGCCTCGTAGTTTCGTTCTACGTTCCAAACTACGTAACGGACAGCCTGGGGATTCAGGTTTCTTAAAATTTGCATCCCCAGAAGACGACTGTAACAAATTTAAACTATCCCTATCTCGATCTCTCGGAATGCTCTGCCAATACTTGGCCAAATATCCAGCACCAGCAGCAGCCACAACAAGAAAGAAATCCATTTCTGCTCTCCTTTCCACACACAAAACATTACCCTAACTCCACCAAGCAAAGTTTCCTATTTGTTTCGATCCTCAGCACCAAAAACCTGGCGCCAACAATTCCCATGAACCACAAATCAAGAAACAAAATGCCTGAACTTAGAATGCAAAACCCCTCTAAAGTTTTTGGAGTAACAAGCTATCCCAAAGTATAAAGTTAGTTGAAACAACTTCCAGAGAATCGAAACCGAAACCGAAACACAACAAAAAAATAGACTTTCTTCCGTCACAATTTGCAGCTTTGAAGTCTCCAAGATACCAACACTCGTGAAGCCTTTTTTTTTTTACCCTTTTTTTCCCCCGAGTTCAGAGACTAATTTCTCAAACCCAGAAATAATAATCAATCAATTTGTGAACAAATATAAGAAGGGCCAAATTCTAGCAATTGAAAGTAATCTTCACCATTCATCAAAACCCATCAAAGCACAACCTCAATACCTTACAAAAAAAAAAAAAAAAAAAAATCCTTCACTGCCCATAATAGAACTAAAAAGGAAAATTGATAATATAAGATATACCCATTTGGAAGCAGCCTTTGGGCTGCAAAACCCATCAACAAAACGAACCCATTTCAGAATATTTCTATTCAACGACCTGAGAAACTGAAATGCGAAGTAGAAAACGAAGGTCAAAACCGCTCAGCACTTTTGGGGACAAGAAGAAAATAAAAAGAGAGAGAAAATAAAAGAAAAAAAGAAAATCTTACTTTTGATAATAATGGTGGGACTTTGTAAAGGAAATCCAATTTCCTTCCTGTTGCTGAATCTTAGAGAAGTGGATTCTCTTTGCTTTGGAGGAATAAGACCCGTAACAATGTTATCTAAACCCACGAGTTCTTTTCTTCCTCTCATAAAAAAACGAGGGTTATGGGAAATTTTGAAAATATTTAATTGTTTTTTTGGTAGAGGATTTTTCGCATTTCATTTTCACCGTAGATATGTGTACTTTGTGGACACGAGTCGATACGGCAACGTCTGATGTATCATTTTCTTTGTCTTGAAACTAACTATTTTTCTCTTTAAAAAAAAAAAAAGAGTTATTTTCATCTAGAATTAATTAAAAAGGTATTCTGCGTTTAAAACGAAAATTACTTTTCTCGTAAAACATAAAAAAAATATTGAAAATGGAAATTAATCCTAGACTCGGAAACAAATATTATATAAATAAAAAAATAAAAAAGTGAATGGAAAATAGAATTCACAAGATATGGCTTACCGTGAGTAATAATAAGTTATTTTTTAAGCCCTTTTTACGGTGAGATCTCTTAAAAAACTCACCGATAGAATACCTTTGTTTTGACAATTAAATTACATTTTTAACGGTTAAATCTATAGATGGAGTAATTTTGTGTGACACACTGTAAATTTTTAATATGAATATGTGCAGTTTTTACCATTGAAAACTTAATCCATCGATCAAAACATAGTGTTTCACCGGTAAAAAAAGCAACCAGTCTCTAAAGATGTTGATCGTGCTATGTCGTGCCAGTCCATTAAATAATCGACAATGCCTAGAAAGTAGATATGTGTATATGTCATGCATATTCATTCATTTTGTTTTATTCTGTTAGACCATACATAAACAGTAATGGCATACTGTAAGCACAAAACGGCTAAATAAACCATGTTTAAATAGAAACTAAAAATGTTGTGAAGTAAAATACATAATAATCAAATAAACATAAAGATATGGTTATTTAACATGACTAAAAGCTCTTTCGGGAAAAAACTGTGTGCTGATCACACCAGCATAAAGAGGATTCCAATATCACTAAATGCAGAATTACAAGAAACCTCCTGTATCTATACCAACTCCTAACTCACAGTGACTCATCTTGACTCGCCTTACTCTAAGTCTTCTGCTCGCTAGTATCTATACCAACTCCTAACTCACAGTGACTCATCTTGACTCGCCTTCAGATTCCTCACATTACTTCGAGACTTCTGCTTGCCTTCGGTCCTTCTGACTTACTCCAAGCATGATGCTCGCCTTCATTCCTTCTGACTTACTCCGAGCGCCACGATCCGCCTTCGGCTCGCTATCGGACCTACTCTGGATTCTTCACAAAGTCCACATGGTTTAAGAGTAACAAATAAAGCCTAGGATATTTGCTATGGTTTTCTTTCATAATTAAGCACAAATGAGAACCCTCAATAGACTCTTTGGTATAAGAGTTCTGAACCCGGAACCATGATTCTGGTTCAAACTAGTGTTTGTTTATAAAAAGTAAAAGTGTTTCTGATTTGACTCACCTAGAATCAGTGTTTGGTTTGAATGGTTCTGATTCAAGGTTTGAACCATGATGTGATGTTTTAAAACCATGAATCACCCCTGATTTTGGGTGGTTCAAAACCACCCCCCCTAGTTTTGGGTGGTTCAAAACCCCTGATTCTGGTTCTGGTTTCAGAACCATGATTTGAAACTAAAATCATGAATTATAGCTCTGGTTCTAAAATCAAAACTAGAATCACCCTGATTTGAACCCTCATACCCATCAAATTTTCTCTCAATAGACTCTCAAGTTCTCAACCTAGGTCACGAGAGAATTTCACGAGGTTCTCCTTAAATAATGAACCACTTGGATATGAGAGAGGTCTAGAATCTCTCCACTTGATCTGGGTTGAGATCTGATTATGATCTCCACTTAATTGTGAATTTTGGACGCACTAAACTTTCTATTTTAAGTCTTCCCATAATTCTAGCTGTTATTGTGTGAACATATTTAAAATCCTTCACAATGTGCAGACAGACAACTAGCTCGTTAACTGGACAAAGTATATGATCATGCACAGACAACTAGTGATTTGTTAATTGAATTGCAATCAATTATCATTTCAATCAGATCCAAAATTGATTAGGAAAATTTTGATAGAAATATCTAGAAAACTTAATCAATGATTGAATCAATCCTCAAATGAATCTCAACTCAATTTTGCATAAGGGTCAATTCTACAATATCGGAAATTACTAAAAATAAATGTGATTAGATTGTAATTAGCAAATCAAAATATTATCACATAAAATCAGCACAAATCTCCTACAATGATACCGAAGATTAGCCCAAAAGTCAACAAAATTTGTCAGCCAACATAATCTATAAATTAATTAAATCGGGCTATTTATGGTATCAAATCATCCAAATTCAAATCAACTAAATATGAATATATTGTTAAAACGAGCAACAAATAATTAAAATTATTTTGATACAAGGTTGCTAACAACAATGCACAAATTTCACGTGAACCACAAATGCTATGTAGGAATATTTATGCCTCATAGGATTAAAAATCCTAACATGTTCTAAATTTTCCTTTCATTTGCTAGAATTATGTCGTAACAAGGTTAAAATTTTAGCATTTGATATAAAAAGGGACTCAAGAGCTCGATAAATGTGTTATGGTTCATGACGTACATGACATAGGCACAAGCAGGAGCCATGCAACGGCCATTGATTGAGCTTAGTCTAAGAGTTTATTTAGTAGGAGGGTTTAAACTATGGTGATTCTGGTTTTGATTTTGAAACTATGATTCATGATTTTAAGTTCAAATCATAATTTTAAAACAAAAATTAGAATAAGAGGTTTGAACCACCCAAAACTAAGAGGGCATGGTTTTAGAATCATAGGTGATTCCTAGTTTAAAACATCACACCAGGGTTCAAATCTTGAATCAAAACCATCCAAACCAAACACTGATTCTGGATGAGTCATATCAGAATCACTTTTTATTTTTTATAAATAAACACTAGTTTAAACCAGAATCATGATTCCGGATTCAAAACCCTTATACCAAACAATGCCTTAGTTTTAGAATCTCAGACAAGCACGAGCTTGGCACAAAATTTATGGGTTATTTAACACGAAAGAAGTGATACTTTGAGTTTTAAAGCTTCATCGACACGATACGACCTAACCCGACGTGATAAGACCCAATACGACACGATACGACTTAACCCGATACGATAAGGCCCAATACGACACGATACATGACACGACAAGATACATGACACAAGTAGCCTTTCTAACCGTAACAATGTATTTAAGTTGGTTTAGTAGTTATATCTAGAAAGTATTGCAATAACTCGATTGGAAGGCAATTAAATCAACTTTTGGCTTCTGGCTTTTAGCCTTTTAGCTTTTTAGCTTTTAGGACATTGGAATATGACTTTTAAAGTAAACGCTGATGGCTCTTCTGTGGTGGCTCTTTGATATAATCGCCGCTTACAACAAGAAAAAAAACAATGTTTGATCAACTCAACTTGATGCAAGATTTTTCCCACCCCCAACCAACTTATTCTGCAACCTTTTCCAAACACAAAATAAAGTTGACACCACCACTTAAAGAAAAATCAGCCCCTCTTTTCAATTCAATCTAATAGCAAATAAAAAAAAAATTGTGGTGGGGTTGGCGAGGAATATATTTTGGTGAATGAAAGAGAAAAATTTAGAGGCCCGAAACATCATATACACATATAAATATAGAATGTGTGTGAAAGGGACATAGATAAAGGGAGACTTGTTCCTAAGTTCATGACCAATTGATGAGAGGAAAAAAAAAAAGGTCCCTCGGAAAAAAGAAAAAGAAATTACCCTTTTCTTTTAATAAAAAAAAAGAAAAAAGCAATTAAAAGGGATGTGAATCCTTTCCATGGGCCCAATTTTAAGGCCCGCTAAGATGTTATTAAATGCTTATCAGCTGGTGAAAAGAACAGTTTAATACTATGCAAATCATTTTCTAAATCCAAAAATTGCCGAGGAATAATGGTTACTCACGTTTGAATGCGACTTTGACAGAATTCTCTTTAATCACATTCTATTTATTACACACTCAGGCTTTCAAAATTGAATCACAACGATGTTGATATTTGATATTCTATTCCATTATGTGCTACAGTAAACTTTTTTTTCTCGTGGAGAAATTATGAAAAATATAAAAATTTAATAGTGTGATGCAATAAAAATCTAATATTATTAATTATTATATAATTTTTTCTCAAAAAATTGTTATAAATTTTGTTAATCAATTATCTAATTTATTACAATTAATGATCGTCCGATTAATATCTTTAAATTAAAATAACAATACTTATTAATAGATGAATATTTAAATCTGATTAATATTTTTAAATTAAAATAATAATACCTATTAATAGATGAATATTTAAATAACCATTAAAACTACGGCAGATAAATATATATTTGATTTAAGACATCCATGTGCAAAGGGCTTTACTGTTGGACCCATTTCGACCAAAACGAAATGGCGCCGTTTTGGTCGAAATGCAGCCCCCTATCTCTTCTTTTTTATTTTTTTTTAACCTTAATCCTTTTTTTTACCTTATTTATTTTTTCATTTTAATCCTTTTTTTATGAAAATTTTCTTTTATTTTTGCTCTAAAATCTTATTTTATTTTTTATTTTAGTTTCTTTTTCCATAAAACTTATTTTTTTTTTCATTTTTGTCCATTTTGACTTGTTTTATTTTTGTCCTAAAATTATATTTTTTTCATTTTGGTTAAGAAACTTATTTATTTTTCATTTTAGTCCTTTTTTTTTTTTACCAATTTTCTTATTTTTATTCTAAAACTTTATTTTTTGTTTTAGTTTCTTTTGCCTTAGAACTTATTCATTTCTTCGCTTAAACTTTAGTCTTTTTACCCTTTTTTGTTTTTATCTTGAAATTTTATTTTATTTTTCATTTTGATTCATTTTTTTCTAATACTTATTTATTTCTTTATTTTGTTCCTTTTTTTACCTCTTTTTTTTTTCTTTACCTTGAAACTTTGTTTTTTTAGTTTGGTTCATTTTGTCCTAAAACTTATTTATTTATTCACTTTAGTCTTATGAATTTTTTTTATAAATTTTTGTCATGAAATTTTATTATTATTTTTTCCATTTTGGTTTCTTTTGCCCTAAAATTCATTTATATCTTCATTTTGGTTGTTTTATGCCTATTCTTTTTATTTTTGCCCTAAAACTTTATTTTTTTTGTTGTGGTCCCTTTTACCCTAAAACTTATTTTTTCCTTCACGTTAGTCTTTTCTTTACCCTTTTTTTTTTTTTTGCCTCTTAGCCATAAAATCTTATTTTTCTTACTTCTTGAGATTTTATATTTAGATTTTACACGCTTTTTATAATAATACGGTAAATAAAATTTAACTCACAGATTACTCTCCACGTGCCATGCACGTGATGTTCAACTAGTTTACATACAAGTATAAATACTTAAATTCAGATGAGTACCATGCAATCACATTCACAAGACATACTATTAGGAGAAAAGCTCAAAAGAAGTATCTTCATATTGTACCTAACCGCATGCTTGTGATCAAAGGAGAGAGAAAATGAATCTACGAATTAAAGGCACTCAAAGACTGTCAAGTAGTGTTAGGTAACCTTTCACAAAAGAGAAAAGGAAAGGAAAAATGCCTGTTCAGTTGAATTTGACTTTTATTCAGTCCAGCTGGAAAGGGTCCCATTCTACACCCAACCAAAGAACTTTAAAAAATTATTATTAGGAAAAAAAAAAATAAAAGAAGAGAAGGAAAATGAATAAGAAAGATTCATGTGGAGACATGTACTCCAAATCTACGAGTTTGCAAGCTGTAGGGTTGCAAGTTTGGACTGTCGGGCTGGCTTGAATGAGGAGAAAGTAACATAGCCTAAAACCTGACATATTGAATTTGGGCCACGCCGAAATGATGGTCTCCAGGTTAGCCCATTTGGCTCCGTTTAAACTTGTAATTCTACTGTGGAGGCATTTTATTTTAAGAATTTTTTAGCAATGCCGCAAAACAACCTTAGTTTCAGATTTATGCCATAATTTTGAAACTTTTGATTGTGGGTCACGCAATTGAACCAGTCAAAGATCAGCAAAATGTGGTATAAATTTGAAAGTATGGCATAAGTCCGAAGACAGAAAAATTCTGTTATGCCATCTAATTTTCTCTTTCTTCTCACTCTAATACAAGAGGGACGCAAAGCCTACCGAGAATGGATTCGAGTCAAATCCTAATCATCAAACTTGCCATACCGGCATTTTAGGCCTCAAATTCAATCATGTAGCTGCTATTAATTTTTCTCGGTGACAAAATTACATAATTTACCCTTAAAAGAGAATATGGATCTGAATTTTTATCTATTATTGTTGATTAATATCATTTTGCTAATATAGTTGTTGATGGTGAAATCTCGTCAACAGAAATAGGCCGGGTCACCTCTAGGTATCCCGTTGGATTACCGGCTTGATATTGAGTGTATACTCAATTTATGCAATGAAGTGTTTGTTGTATTTTTAGAATGGTGAGCAATATGAGATAAAATGCTTGAAGTAGAAGAATACACGAAATTTATAGTGGTTCACTCTGTTAATGAAAAGCTACATCCACTGTAGTTTTATATTCCTTTTGAGATTGTTACAATTTACATCAACTGTTGTTCTCTCATTTTTTCGCTCTCAGGAAGCGAACCTCCTTCCTGTATGGGGCTTTGCCCCTTTTATAGCCGAGCTTCTTTCATTGGGTGGGTCTCCATTGTAGGCAGAAGCACTCAAGTGGTCTGCCTTTCTAGGCCCAGACCGTAGCCCACTAATCACTTTGCAAACTGTTCACTCAGTCAATTAGTCTCCTATTACGACTCTGTGCGTACCTGTAACCCTTTTCTGTCCCCCGTAGGGCGGTTTAAGGGTTTACAATTAATGTCTGTACTGCAGACATCCCCCATTTCTGCACGCAACTTGCGATGTCAGGCTTTCCCCTTTTGGGGTATTCCTCTCGCCGTCTCTGTTTGCTCAGCCTAGTTGTCTTTCTTGGCAATTGATTTTCTCCCGAAGGATTTCCGTCGTAAGGTCGACGGTACGACCTGTTGTTGTAATGAGGAGTCGGCGTCCTAAGTTGGGCTTCCTTTGCAGCAGAAGGAAAGGGAGTCCCCAGCGTCGAGGGTTGTGTCCTTTTAGGAAAAAGCAAGGCCACGTGTCACACTGTTGTTCTTCCACGCGTCATTCACATTTTTCCACACAACAATAGTTATTTAACTAAAAAAGTTATTAATTAAGAGTAAGTGGTAGAAATCCTGATCATGCACTTGTAAGGGGTATTTATCTCATTTTCCCTTAATTGGTCGAGCTTAGGCCCATGGCTATCTTGAATTCATATTCAGTGGCCCATGAAAAATGAAAATCCAAACAGACTATTTACTACATTACGTGGGAGAATATAATAAATAGTAGATTTATAAAACTAAATTAACTAAATAGCAGATTTTTTTAGAACTATTTGAGGTAAATAACATTTTATCATGTAAATGTTTTATTTACAACTAGTAAAAAAAAATTTCTAAGTATTACAGGTAGCAAAAAGATCTTTTTCCATGTAAATAAAGATTTTTTTACCATAATAAATGAAATATAAACTACTATTTATTTCAAATAGTTTTAAAATCTACTATTTACATAATTTAGTTTCAAAAATATACTATTTACTACAATTTCCGTTTATATGTACAAAACAATAACAAATAAGCCATTTTTAAACATATTTTAAACATTTATGGTAAATAATTTATTTACGAAGCAAATTTATAAGGTAAGTGTAAGTCCAATGTAAATATGAATCATTTACCGTAAATATTTTAATATATGATATTTACCATAAATAATTTTAGAAAAATGTTATTTAGCTCCTCTAAAACAAAAACAGCGTTATTATAAGGGCAAACTAAACCATATTGGAAAGGTAAACCTAACTCATTCATGCAAAAAAATGGTAATCTAATTGCAAAATGGATCAAGTGAGTCACAAACACAGATGGCTTAACAGCAAAATATTGATTGGAAATCTATCCACATTGGGAAATATACTCCAATAACCAAAAAAGGGCAAGCAAGTTGCATTTACAGCGCTGGAAACACCAAATACTCGCTTTTTATGGATTTCTTATTGAGTTTTTATACACTTCCGTTATATGAAAGAGAGATAAATATATCATCTTACACAAGCAAGAATAGTTCTACTCTATAATGCCAGCATTCGAGCGACTGGAAAAGAAGAACAAAGAATAGAGTAGTAGGCCTGAGGAAGAATTCAGAGGCTAGTCCAAGGACCTTATCAGGTCTTTGAAATTGAAAACAAGCCAGTCAGCGTTTTCTGCAACAGCGCCTCGAAGTTGAACACCCGCGTAGCAAATGAACAAGTCAGCACCTTCAGGTTGGCGGGCCTACACATGGAAAAGCAAATTAAGATAATTATAATGGATAGAAAACTCCATATTGAAATAGTATAGGATATGTCATCATGTTAGTCATGCTTATGTATGACTATGAGTCAAATTTATAGCTTACTCATCTTTTCGCCATGGTTTAAAAAGGCATACGCCTCGAATGCCTCAAGGCGCGCCTCAAACTGAGGCAGCCTAGTGATTCAAGGCTTACATTTCAAATGTGCATCTAATACTTGCGCTTTTTCGCCTAACATGTAAAAACTAAGTTTGACCGTTAATGTTGAATCATAGCCAACAAAATCACATATTTTCTTTTACTTTGTATTGGATAGAAACCTCCATGTTGAGGAGTAAAGAACGTTTTCATGTTAGTCATGCTTATGTATTTACTATCGAGTCATATTAGCGTTCTCTTTTCTTTGTGCTTAACATCTTCAAACTAAGTTTGATATCTAAAAAATAGCCAACATCAAACAATCACATATTTTGTTTTTTCCTCTGTATTTTTAGTATACTTTTTTGAACTATTAGGACGAAGTGCGAAACATTGTTTTTGGCATGAAAAAGCTATCCGTATAGCTGTATGCCTGCATGATAGCATCAAAGAAACAAAACTTTGCAGCATGGCAACCTTCAAGTTTTTATTTTTTACTTACCTCAAGATCTGTTGCTCCATCCCCGATCATGACTAGTGTCTTGTAATTATGAACCTAGAACATCAATGCAATCAGCTTGTCAAGCAACGTACATGGGAAGCAAACATGAAATTATAAGATAGACTGACCTTCCTTATTTGTTGCACTGCCTTCGCTTTTCCTCCACTTCGTGAAGTGGGCTCATCTTTGTCAAAACCAAGAAACTCCCCAGAACTTCCAAACAACAGTTGATTTGCAAAAATGTTTTCTGGTGGTATACCAAGGATTGACGCAACAGGCTTCACAGAAAATTGCTCAGTTAATAATGATAATCTCCTCTTTAAGTTTAGTTAGAAGCTAGGAGCTATGTGATTTCACATACACAACACTTCCCATTGCTTACATATAAAACAAACAACAATCACAACAATAACAACAAGCCTTAATCCCAACTTAATTGGGGTCGGCTATATGGATTTTACTTTTCCACACAATTCTGTTTGAAATTAAACTTTCCTGAATGCCTAGATCTAGAATGTCTTTCCTAACGACTTCGGTCCACGTAATTCTTGGTCAACCCCTCCCTCTCCTAGTATTAGGTATAAGAATGTCCTCCCAAGCACGAACTGGTGCTTCTAGCGGTTTACGTTGGACATGCCTGTACCACCTCAAGCGGTCTTCGCGCACCTTATCTTTCTGTTGGTGCTACACCTACTTTACTACGAATAACTTCATTCCTTATGCGATCCATTCTCATATGGCCACTCATCCATATTAACATACGCATTTCTGCCACACTCATCTTAGATATATGTTGTCTCTTAATGGCCCAACATTCACTACCATATAACATAGCTGGGCAGATTACAGTCCTATAGAACTTTCCTTTTAACTTAATAGACATCTTGCCATCACATAAAACTCCCATAGCATTCTTCCACTTAACCCACCCTGTCTTAATCCTATGTTGAATATCATCTTTTATATCTCCTTCGTACTGCACTATAGACTCAAGGTACTTAAACTTTTTAGAAGCCCCAATCTCCACACCATCTAAAGAAATTCCATCACTCTGATTACTTGAGTTACTAAATCTACAATGCATGTATTCAGCTTTCGTCCTACTTAACTCAAATCCCTTCGTCTCAAGAGTCTATCTCCACAATTCTAACTTACGGTTAACTCCTTCTCTATGTTTATCAACAAACTATATCATCCGCAAAAAGCATACACCAAGGAACTCTATCTTGGATTTCTTTTGTCAGCTCATCCATCACGATGGTGAAAAAATAAAGACTAAGAGCAGATCCTTGATGAAGGCCGATCCGAATAGGGAACTCTGCCGTGTAGCCTCCAGCAATTCTCACACTCGTGACCACCCCATCGTACACGTCCTTAATTACCTTAATATACCTCACATGCACTCCTCTCTTTTCTAGCACCCACCATAAAATTTCCCTCGGCACCCTATCATATGCCTTTTCTAAATCTATAAAGACCATATGTAGGTCCGTCTTGGCTTCTCTGTACCTTTCCATTAGCATCATAAGACGAAAAATGGCTTTCGTGGTTGATCTACCTGGCATGAAGCCAAATTGATTGCCTGAGATGGTAGTTGTGACCCTTAATCTCCTTTCGATAACTCTCTCCCAAAGTTTCATAGTGTGGCTTATTAACTTTATGCTCCTATAATTGTTACAATTCAGCTCCTTTATTCTTGAAGATGGGGACAATAATATTTTTCCTCCATGCATCAGGTATATGTTTCTTCTTTAGTATCTCATTAAAAAACTTAGTGAGCCACACAATATCAGCATCTCCTAACACCATCCAAACCTCTATTGGAATATCATCTGCTCCACATGCCTTCCCCCTTTTCATCTTCCGTAGTGCAGTTTTAACTTATGAGACTCTGATTCCTCTTGTATACATCACATTAGGTTCTCCTTGTGACCTAAGATTGTCAAATTGTATCGCATGATCATCATTATAAAGCTTCTCAAAGTAACTCCTCAACCTTTCCTTAATGTCTCTATCTCCTTAACACACCTCACTTGATTTAGGTCCTGATACTTCATTTCTCTTATCTTAGTTAGTTTATATATATCCTTCTCTCCTTCTCTAGTCCCAAGTTTCCTATATACCTCATCTAAGTAAGTAGAACGAGCCTTACCAACTGCTCGCTTAGCTTCTTTCTTCACTTTTTTGTACTTATTAAAAGTTTCAACATCCTTACGCTTTGGTAAATCTCTATATAAATAATCCCTCTTGGTCCTAATAGCCTTTTGAACTTCCTCACTCCACCACCAGGTTTCTTTCCCAGGGGGGCCTTTACCTCTAGATTCTCCTAGTACCTCATTTGTCACTTTTCTAATGCAACTGGCCATGGCATCTCACATAGTATTTACATCACCTACATATGACCAAGTAGCCTCATCTAATAACTTCTCTTTAAAGGCCAATTTCTTTATTCCCTTCAAATGCCACCAACGAGTTCGTGGGAGGTGGTTTATCTTAATCCTTCTATAGCAAAGCTTAATGCTCACATCTAAGATCACTAATCTATGGTGGGTGGCTAGTATTTCTCCAGGAATTACTTTACAATTCTTACATAGAGAACGATCTCTATACCTGATGAGAAAATAATCTATCTGGCTTAAGTTCCTTCCATTCTTAAAAGTTATCAAGTGAGAATCTCTTTTCTTGAAAAATGTGTTTGTTATGATAAAATCATGTCCCAACGCAAATTCCAAAATAGATTTCCCTTCTTCGTTTCGAGCTCCAAAACCAAAACTACCATGGATTCTTTCGAAGTTTTTCCTATCCTTACCAACATGCCCATTGAAATCTCCTCCAATGAAAATGCTAACCTCATTGCCTATACGACACACTAAGTCATCCATGTCTTCCCAGAACTTGACTTTAGTTTCTGCATCCAATCCTATTTGTGGAGTGTAAGCACTAATTTACATAGATGAACTTATTTCCTAGTACCAATTTGAGCATAATAATTCTATCCCCTATTCGCTTAATCTCAACTACGTCATCCTTCACAGTTTTGTCCACTAGAATACCAACTCCATTGCGATTCCTTTCCCAACCTGTATACCATAACTTGTGTCCTAAATTTGGAATCTCCTTTGCTTTCTCTCCTGTCCACTTCATTTCCTATAAGCATAAAATGTAAATTCTTCTTCTTACCATAACATGTACTAACTCCATAGATTTACCAGTTAAAGAACCTACATTCTAACTATCTAAACGAATTTTTCTATCATGGGCTAGCTCTGCCCCTTGCACACGTCCATAAATGTGCAAGGACCCCCATTGCATATTTTTCACCATATCCGGGGCCCGACATGGCGCATGGGCTCGCTTTTCTCCCCGCACAAGTCTATGAACGTGCGAAGACCCCCCTTGCCTATTTAACACTATACCCGGGGCCCGGCATAGCGTGTTGCACGTAGGGAACGCCCCCACAGATTTTATGTGAGTGAAATTCATGAGAGTGACTTATTTTTACGATGGCTTACATATAAAACAAAAAAAACAAAAAAAAGAAAAGGAAAAATGGGCCATAGAGAATGAAATACAGATGAAGATAGTTATCACCCAACAACATACATTGATCATGCGACGGAAGCCTCCAGATATTAAGTAAACCTCAGTATTATTAGCCTTCAGCAACTTGACCAACTCATCTATACCGGGTGAAAGTCTGCAGAGAAATATTGAGAATACTTATAAACTCATTCCAGTCATAAAGATGCTAGAAGAGGAAAAAGGAACAGAAGCAGATAGTTTCAATCGCAGAGATGAAGTCGCATCAACTTCATGCAGCAAAAAGTGTGTATTTTTTTTTTCTTTCAAGTGCAACAAACTCCATTGGCCCCTCTCTTTTCCAAGGTATTGAAACAAAAATTCACTTCCTGCGCAAGTATTTTTTTTTTTAATTTTTTAATTTATTATTTATTTATTATTTTTTTTATCTTTCAGGTGAGACAGGCAATTTCCTATGCCATATAATTTTTTCCGCGCATAGAAGAGAAGAATATTACAGAAAATATTATGATCACAGGCAAGCAAATTTCATTACAAAAACTCTAAAGTAGGTATGTCAAGTAATCAAGTCCACATATAGCTAGGAAAAACCAGTTGCAGAAACGCGCAAATTGAAGTAAAACCTTATGTATATATTGATGTATCAGATAAAGAAATACGGTAGAATATGGCACCTACAATGCTAGTGCAATAGATGATCCTACTATATTTCACGATTGCTCATTTTATTAATACCAACATTAAACAACATTTTTCTTTTTGAAGAGAGAGAGAGAGAGAGAGAGAGAGAGAGAGAGAAGCCTTTTACCTTGGGGGCCTCTTTTCAAGAAATTCCTGCACTTGGGAAAGGGAAGGATTAAACAAGGATAGTCTGGCAGCCAAGGCGTCCTCAAAAGGTACTGAACCACTCATTGCCCTGAGAATTTTCCAAACAAAAAATCAGGAAGAAGAACTCTGGGACGCCAATAATTGGAAGACAAGGTAATAAATGAAAGAACAGCTGACTTTGCCGTCCATTCCGCGACAGCATTTCCAGCTCCACAAAATTCTGCAAGTTCGTCAATACCCTCATCCACGCACACTGTGCTATCGACATCAAAGCACACCGCATTGGTGCTTCTCCACAGCCCCAGAACCCCTGTAGATGTAAGAAGAAACAACCATCAAAAGTAGCCATATTTAAATCCCTACCTGTCTTTGAGACTATGATCATCATTTCTCAAGGACAAAATCCTCAATTTCTTTCCAGTTAATGAATTCAGATTACTCTGTCCTTGAATACAGACAACAAACCCCAACTCCGTTCATAAGTTGTTTCATCCAACAAGAAAATATGACCAAACTTTTGAGAATCAAAACTTCACTTCATGGGCTCATCATATTCTCGATTTCCAGTTAGTGAACTTGGTTTATCCAGTCCTTTAATACCAACTATAAATTCAAATTCGGTAGTAAATAAGTTGTTTCTTTCGGTAAGTAACACAACCAATCTTCCACTAGAACTAAACTAGACAAAGGTTAGTTTTTTTGCACTCCGTCGAATAACACGAATTAAATTGAAGTTCTCAACTCCATTGTTTTACAAAAGCAACAATGAAAGGGGGAAAAAAAACCGAAAAAAAAAATTCCAAACACATATCCAGCAACCAATAAAACCAAAACTTACACAAAAGAACTGAACAACAAAATTGATTTCTGCACCAAATCTATTCCTTTTTTTTCTTCTTCTTCTTCTCAGTAAAAGCAACAACGAAAATACAAATTTCACAAATTGAAATCGATCGGATTGTAACCTTTTGATGGCTTTGTGTTGTCGTATCGGCTAGGCGCCGAGGTTTCCAACGGCTGAACCGAAGCAACGATCGAGCCAAACGACTGCGAATTGTTCTTCATTCTGAAATGGTGGCTTCGCTCAAATCGCAACGAAAATGCACGAACAAATGAAAGCTGAAAGTCATTTTGTCTACAATGAGTAGAGATTCCTGCGATTTGCGAAGAACCTACTATACCTTCCATGAAATTATCTGTTGAAAAGCAAATCAGAAATTCGAATGAGAATCTGAAGCTTTTAACAAGTTCCGAGCACCATGGAGAATGAAACGAAAAGATTCTAGAACTCGGAGGTCATTTTTTTTTTTCGCGCGAACCAAACAGAAACAGGAAAAGAAATTTACCAAATGGCTAGCGAGATTTTTTCTTGGATTTCTCTGATTCTTCTCAAGCGCTTCGCCGCCGTAGCTCCGACTGTTAAAAGAAAGAGAACACTCATCAAGAAGCCAACTTTTTATTTCAGAGAAATAAATAACGGAAACTAAAATATTTAAAGATAAAAAAAATCTACAGAAAAACCTGTAGTTTTCCTTCACCAACTACCGAGCTCCAAATTCAACCCAATGTGTTGATATATGATGTATCCGACTGATCAGCATTTTCTAGGATTATTTTCGTAACTGTATACTATATTTCAATATGTCCTCTGAATTATTTACTCTATTTCAAAATGTCTCTTTATTTATTAAAAAAATTATGTTAGGTGATCTTTTATAACCATCTATTTTCATAAGTAATCAAATTTTTTTATTTTATAAAAATGACCGTTTTATTTAAATAAGCAAACTAGTAATTGATTTATAAATTACAGTCAATCAATGTTCACTATTAGTTTATCAGTGATTTATTATTAATAAATATGTAATTTATTTTTTAAAATTAATTAATTAATAATTAATTTTGATTAATTATTCACTAATATTGATTAATAATAAATAATAATTAAATTAATTAGTGATAAATTAATTGACCCTTGAGTCAATCAATAATTGAGTACTAAATTAATAAAAACAATCATTTCTACACTTTTATAAAATTTTGTTATTTATGAAAATAATTCTTTAAAAAAGGTCATTTATGCTGAAAATAATTCAAAACACTCATTGATTTATAAAAAGGATATCAAACTACGCCTTCCCTTTAAATTCGTCTATAAATTTAACAGATATGTTGATGACAACTCATATTACAATACTACAGTTAAATTAGGGCCCCGTTCATTTCACCGATTCGAGTTTTGCTACACTAGAAAGCTCTCAAAAACAATCACATCTAATTTTTTTGCTATAGTAAAAAACTCACATAAAATCACATATCAACTCGAATTAAAAACTCGAATTAACGAATTAAACGTGTTATAAGCTTAAAAATGATTAATTATTAAAAATTAATAAACAAGCTCAGAATTTAATTATGAAAAGATATATAGAAAAAAATTGTTTCCCAATTTTCCTCAAAATTCACAGACCCAAAACAACTCCCTCGTTTGTCAAAAAAAAAAAAAAAAAAAACCTCCTCCAGATCTCCTCTCCTTTAAAGATTTAAAGTTTGTTAATTTAAATTTTTAATTTAAGTTAAAATATAATTTTATATGAAAATTTTTTATTATAATAAAAAAATTAAATTTAACTTATTTTTAAGAATTTTTTATTATAATAAAATTTAAAATTTAATTTCAAAACTTCACCTTGTTCAAGAACAACCCAAGAGTTCAATAATGAATTCCATGTTCAGCTGTGTTTCGATTTTAATTCTCTTTTGGTTTGTTCTTAAAAATCAAGGGGTGAATCCATAGCCAGAGTTATGTTATTGATCTTGTCCTTGTCTCTTCCTCTTTGTAAACACCCACTTGTATAAACGACGAACACCATTAGACCTCCTTCTCAACCAAATAGACTTTTGATCAGTACAAACGACAAGACCACAACGGAGAACGTTAATGGAACAAAACTACAACCACCTACTGCGAGCCAAGCCGATCCACCCAAATCAAAACCAAAATTGGACTCTACAATGGCGGTCAACTGGGAGGGTACAGGTTCGAAGTGCGGAGATGGGCGGACATCGACGGGTCAGTGCGGAGATGGACAGCTTGGATTGATGAGGGAGGGGCTATTGGGCTCAATGGGAGGGCTGCAACCGACGGCGACGATCGCGAGTTCTGAACGACGGCGAGCTCTGGACTCCGTTGGCTGAGCTCATGACGGTTTGGTTCACGCTAGCGTGGGTTCACTATGGGTCGATTCTTGACCGGAGGGTTGAGACTTGAGCATTAGCAGCCCTAGATCCACGATGATGTTCAGGGTTTAGATTTCTCTATCTTTTTTTTTTTTATAAATTATTTTGAGCGGAGATTTCATTGGTTTTTTTATATTAATAATAAAAAATCTCGTTCATTTAGTTAGTTCGAATCACAACTTAAATTTTTATATAATATTTTTTTTATAAAAATTTAAATTTAAATTTTTTTATTATAATATTTTTTCTTATATAAATTTATTTTTTAACTCAAATTCTCAATTCGAATAAACGAAACGAACAGGCCTATGATTTTTATTAACATAAGAATAATTTATTTAATAATTATAATTACTCTTCTTTAAAAAAAAGAATTATGATTACTCTTTTATAATACCTTTTATTATCCTTTAATATTTGTTTATCAAATAAAAAAACTTTTAAATTTTTGCTACATGAGTAAAGCTGTTAATATTATAGATGGAAGTAGACAGAAATGGTATTTTGAACTATTTTTTATATATTAGGGAGTGTTTTGAACCGTTTTAAAAAATTATGAGCATATTAAAATTTTATAGTAGTACATAGTTCATAAGTATTTATAAAAATAATCTTATTTTATTTACCCTTGTTCACGGTCATGATTTTAAAATTTTTGTTAGGCCACATGACGGACTCTCCTCATCTTCCTCTTTTTCTTTTATTTTTTCCCTTATTTAGTTTTTTATCTTTAATTTTTTAAATGTTTCGCTTTTTTATTTTTTGTTTTGTGAATTTTTGTAGAGTTTTATTTTTTTATGTGAATTTTTCAAAAATAATTTTTACTCACTTTACTTCTATCAAAGTAATCTCTTTTACATAAGTTTCTATTTTTAATTTTTTTTTGTTAATGATTAAAATAATTTTATTTTAATTTCTCCATACTTAATTGCAATCTGTGTTATTTTTGTTATATGACACATATTTTTTTACAGTGTTCCCACATAGCACTTTTTAGGCTGCCATGTAATAACCTCCCCCTCACCTTTTTATTTTATTTTTTTTTATCTTTTTTCTACTTTTTTATTTTTTCATTTTTTAAATGTTTTGTTCTTTTATTTTTTTATTTTATGAATTTTTTGTAGTTTTTTATTTATTTTTTTTTTTTTTTTTAACCATCGTTTGCTCTTTTCTAATCTTATTTTGTTTCTTTTGTTCTTTTTTTTTTTTTTAAATTTTGCTAAGAGCTCTTCTATAGTTTAATATTTTAACTTTATCTATAAATCCAATCTAACATATATAAAAACAGTCAAGTCGAATTGGCTTCTAAGGAGGCCACATGTTAGTCCCCTTCTTCTTCTTCTTCTTCTTTTTTAACTTCTCCGATTTTCTCTTCTTCTCTTTTATTATTTTTTATTTTTTCTTCTTTTATTTTGCCTATTGTCTTTTTTATTTTTTTTCCTAATATTCTATAACAGTTGTTTTTTTTTTTACGATTTTTTTTTGAAATAATATCTTTTTTACTTACTTTCTTTTAATTCAAATCATTTCTTTTAAATACGTCCCTACTTTTTTTTTTGTCAAAAACTCTTATATTACTTTAATTCTCTCTTTTTTTTTTAATTTTCATTTTCTTATATTTTTCATTTTTTTCTTTTCTTTTGATTTTTGACTATTTTCTTTTGATTTTTTTTTACATTCTTTGACCGTTACTTTTTTTATAATATTCTTTTTTGAAATACTTTTTTTTTCCACTTTCTTTCAATTAAAATAATTCCTTTTAAATATTTCCATACTTAAAGTTTTTTTATTCAAAAACCCATATATAACTTTTATTCTTTTTCAATATGATTTTTTTAAAATGTTTTTTTTCTCTTGCTCCAATTATGAACCTAAAAAGTTATTCCCACGTGCGTAGTACGTGGCTCAACTAGTAATTAAGAAAAAATCTACATCCTCTAAAAAGAGGAAAAAAATTAACAATTAAAAGTTTAATGATTAAACGAAAACAAAATCTATAAATAGAAAAAAAATGTCAAGGCCAACTCAATGAGATAAAAAGCTCTTGTAAAAAGCTCTCATAGACAGATCTCTATGGGTGACGTGGCAAATAAAAGTCCAAGTGGCAATACAAAGGAATCTCTCTACTCTTATGTGGCAGTTAGTTTTTGTTTTACTTTTCTTTAGAAATTGTTCAGTCAGTAGAATTGTACAACTTGTGCAATAAATACCGAATTAGGAATATGAGTTGTTTTAGGGCCCGTTCACTTCGCTGATTCGAGTTTAGAATTCGAGTTTTTCTACAGTAAAAAGCTCTCACAAACACTCACATCTAACTTTTTTACTACAGTAAAAAGCTCTCACATAAAGTCACATCTCAACTTGAATTCTAAACTCGAATCAGCGAAGTGAACGGGCCCTTAGACTTTTATTTTTCAGATTGGGTTTTCTTTTTCTGTTATAGTGAGAGAAACAAGAAGTTAGAGAGAGAAAGAGTGAGAAGAAGAAATCGAGAGAACAAAAGATTAATGAGGATAAAATTCATGATGGTCTGGGATTTGTTCTTGTTTCTTGGCTCTTGTATTGTTCTGTGACTTGGAATAAAGTTCAAATTTTCTTGGTTGTTCTAGGTTGAAGAGACAATCCCAATTCTTTGTGTTCTTTCAATTAGTTTCGAGTGTTGAATTACTTGGTTGATCTGGTAAATCAAGGTTAAAGGAATGGTTCGATTTCCTCACAATTGGTATTAGAGCCATCATCCATGGCTGTCAAGATGGGCTCAACGCTGTTCGACATCAAAAAATTCACTGGGAAAAATGATTTCGGGCTGTGGAGGGTGAAGATGCGCGCATTATTGGTTCAATAAGAGCTTCAAGATGCTCTAGGAGGTGAAAAGAATCTGGCGAGCAATCTTTTTTATTAGATAATAAGGAGGTCATGGAGAAGGCCCACAACGCCATTATTCTTAGTTTGGGAGATAGGGTTCTGCGAGAAGTTTCAAAGGAGAAGACTACCGCAACTATCTGGCAGAAACTGGAGAACTTGTACATGACCAAGTCTCTTGCAAATTGATTGTTCTTGAAACGATAACTCCACACCTTTTATGTGGGACCGGGTAAATCAATTTCTGACCATCTTGATGACTTTAACAAGATTATCTTCGATTTAGAGAATATTGAAGTCAAAGTAGATGATGAGGATCAGACAATGATATTGTTAAGTTCTTTACCTGCACAATATGAAAATTTTATGGATACGATGTTTTATGGTAGAGAAAGCTTGACATTAGAAGAAGTTCAATCCGCTTTAATGTCAAAAGAGCTTAAGAGGAAGTCAGAAATTAAGGAAGAATCTGCAGAAG